GCCTCCCACCCCTCCGCCAGCGCCGCGGGGCTTGCCGGGAGCTGGTCCCATCCCCACAGCCAGGTGACCCCCTCTTGCCCCACAGGGCCCGTCCATGGATGCCAGCAAGAAGGTGGATCTGAAGATAATTATCATAGGGGCTCTGGGGTAAGGAGCGGCGCTGGCAATGGGAGGGAAGCCCCAGGCGTGCACTGGCCCGGGAGCCTGCGGGTGTGCAGCCCCTGTCCTTGCTGCGACAGACCCCCTGGGCCCGGCTGCGCAGTGCAAAGCCTCACCCACAGCCCTTCCCTCCTGCCAGCGTGGGCAAAACCTCCCTCCTGCACCAGTACGTGCACAAGACGTTTTACGAAGATTACCGCACCACGCTGGGCGCCAGCATCCTGACCAAAGTCCTCGCGGTGGACAACACCCCCCTGAAGCTGCAGGTGAGCGGGGCTGGGACCACCATTTACGCCACACATTTACCACCACCTCATTACTAGTTGATCTTCAAGGTCCCTTCCAACCCTTACCATTCTATGATTCTATGTCCTGCTGTCCCCAGGCGCCTACTGGCATCGTGAGGTGGGGGCTGGATTTGCAGGGCCTGATATTCAGCAGCTTTGAGAATCCGTGAACTACACCAGAATTCCACATGAGATCTGGGGACTCGGCACTCCCTGAAGCTGGTCCCCTGAGCCTAAGAGAGCACAGGGCTGCAAACACCCACACCGCTCGTGACGTGTGTCTGTACCTGTGCCCTTCTCTGCTCTAGATCTGGGACACAGGGGGACAGGAGCGATTCCGATCCATGGTGTCAACGTTTTACAAAGGCTCCGACGGCTGCATGCTGGCCTTTGACGTGACGGACAGGGAGTCCTTTGAGTCCCTGGACAACTGGAGAGATGACTTCCTCGACAAGGTCATTCCAAGGGAGCAAGGGTTCCCCATGGTCGTGCTGGGGAACAAAATAGACATCTGCGATCGCCAGGTAAGGGTGGAGGAGAGAGAACGCGGGGTGTGGATTGGGACACCGTAGTGACCCAACAGCTTACGAGCGCTGAATCCTTCTGCAGAGCCAGGCTTCTTCTGATGCTCACGTGAAAACCAAGGCTCCTGGGCAAGAAGCTGCTGGGCCCCCGGTGCTGCTGCCTCCCCTATGTCCCTCGGAGGGCTTGATGTTGTGGTTCAAATCCTCCTTTCCCGCAGGTACCCAAGGAGACTGCCGCAGCCTGGTGCAAGGAGAAAGACATCCCTTATTTTGAAGTCAGCGCCAAGAACAACATCAACGTTGCAGAGGCCTTCGAGACCCTGGCGAAGCAGGCGTTAACCACGGTGAGCAGCGCTCCTGCACCGAGCCTGGGCCAGCAGCAGGGATTCGGGTGGGATCAGGACTCAGCCGCTGCCCGGAGCCGATGCGACAGACCCCCCCAGCCCACCCTCCGATGCAGAATATCTTCTGCTTATTTTGTGTAGGAAAGCCCCAGGAAGAGAAATGCATGTTTAATTTCTGAAAAGAGATCTAAAACAAGTTAGAATAGAGTCAGAATTGCTCCTTCTCTTGGCCCACGGTGCAGGGAACAGGCGTGCCAGCACTGTCCTCTAGCGGCCAGCCCACGGGGACCTGCGTGTCCCCACGCCAGGCGAGCGGGGTGGCTTTTCCCTGGAGTCCATCTTCACTCGCGAATTGGGACAGAGCCTGTGCTCCCTGGTCCTTTAGTCCGCTTAGGCTGACTCCGTGCTAACGTCACTCACCCTCTCTCTTCTCTGTTTTTCCAGTATAAAGGGATTTTTGAGAGTTATTTAACCGATTCCATCAAACTCACTCCCAACGACAAGCCCAAGAAGAGGTGCTGCTGACCCCGGGCACGCTGCCACGCTCCAGGCTGCCCTGCGTGAGCACGGCCCAGCCGAGCACCCCACGATGCCCAAGGCTGGAGCCCTGCCCGGGGGGGGTCCGTGCC